GATCTTGGCTCACTGCAGCCTCTGCCTCCCTGGTTCAAGCAGTTCTCCTGCCTCAGCCTCCTGAGTAGCTGGGATTACAGGTGTGCACCACCAAGCCCAGATAATTTTTGTATTTTTAGTAGAGATGGGGTTTTGCCATGTTGGCCAGGCTAGTCTCGAACTCCCGACCTTGGGTGATCCTCGTGCCTTGGCCTCCCAAAGTGCTGGGATGACAGGTGTGAGCCACCACACCCGGCCAAGAACTCCCACTTCTTAAAGGTGATGTGAGAACCTGAGGAGCTCGGCGTTCACAGTACCAGGTGAGCCTCAGTGCAGACAGCATGTGGCAGAGCTCAGAACACAGAGAATGCAAATTTGCTGCTTCAGAGCTAAACCTCCGGTGGGAGGAGATGAGGACGGCGTGTTCTACAGAGAGGAGTAACGCAGGGGAGGGTGGGGCGGAGGCAGCGTGCAGGCGTGTGAACCGGGTGGTGGGGGAAGCCCAACTGTCAGGTGAGCAGAAATGGCAGGAGCTGGCCAGCCACAGGCCCTGTGCTCTGAGTCCTAGGACTGGGAAGAGAAGTGGACCCAAGTCCAGCAAGCCTGGCAAGTCTGTGATGCTGCTCTATGTCCTTTTCTGCCTTAGTGAAACGATGGACAGAAACCACCCTCTCCAGGCGCCCATGCGGGCCCACAGCGGCCTCAAGGCTGTCTGAGCCCAGCTTTACCCTCTTGTGTTCTCGCCATCAGACACGGCCTCCTGCTGCTCCCAAAGCATGAGGGTGAGTTCTGGGCTCTGTTCTGAGTACAGACCCCATCCCAGACCTGCTCGTGAAGCCACAGCCTGAGGTGGGACGTGCCGAGGCCTGGCCATGCGCTTCCCAGCTTCTCGGCTAAGGTCACTCTGGAATACTTATCTTGGGGGACATAGCTCACAGCTCCCCACTTGCAGTGCTGACAAAGCTTCCTTTGGAAGGGGCCTCAGACCAGATGTGAGTCTGTACCTGGCATAGACTGGGGGTGTTTCTGCTGAGACTCGCTGGAGGGCCCACATGCTCAGTTCTCAACTGCAGCCTCCATGCCCGTGGGCGCCACCTCCAGCTTCTCGGCCTCAACACAGCTTGCCGGGTCTGAGCGGGGCTGCGAATGTGGGTTCCTAACAAGCTCCAGCCGCTCAGGAGACTGTGAGGCTGTCTGTACTCCGAGCGGCGTGCACAGAGCTCAGTGAGACAGGGTGACTGTGCCACGGGGCTGGGGATGACACTGTTCTCTGTGGCCCTGGACACCTTTGGATCAGAACACACTCAACGATGCAGACACCTGATGGTTCTTCCTGAGGCAGCTTGGTGCTTCTGAGATTCCATGGTAGGCAGTGGTGAGAAACCGCCTCCAGGAGGGGCCCTTTCTCTGACACACCTGCCACTGCGCTCACTGGTGCAGCCCAAGGGACACACACAAGCTGTCAGGTCAGCACGGCGTCAGGATGTACTGCAGAGTCATGGGCTCCGTTTCCATCTCCCATGTGTGTGTCACTGAGATCACGATTCTTTTGGAAAAATCTAAAAATATATTGTTTTTGATAACATGAAACTGTATCTGGAGAAAAGGGAATTTATGGTAGAAAACTGAGCAGAAACCATTCCAGCCTGTACCAGGAGAAGGCAGGTCAGACGTGTGCACCTGAGTTCTGGCCCTCTGAGGTCACTTCCTCCCTAAGGAATACAGCCTCTTCTAATAGCAGCTGCAACCAGGAGTGCGTCTTCCCAGGCGTTCTATTTCAAGCTACTGTTCAAGCTAAGAAAGCTCCACTAGGCCTGAGAGCTCCCTACTCCCTGTAATGCATTTAAAATTTGTCTGCCTGCAGGAGGAAAATGCCTGCTTTACTGTGAGTAGCTGGAAACAAACCAACAAACGAAACAGCACAGGCTGGTAGTTCCTGCCTGTGATGCCGAAGCTGAAGGATCACTTGAGCTCAGAAGTTTGAGACCAGCCTGGGCAACATGGTGAGACCTCGTCTCTACAAAAAATACAAAAATTAGCAGGGTGTGCTGGTATGCTCCTGCGGTCCCAGCTACAAGGGAGGCTGAAGTAGGAGGATTGCTTGAGCCTGGGGCGGTGGGGCAGGGTGGAGGGGTGTGGAGGGATGCAGAAGTTGCAGTGAGCTGAGACTGTACCACTGCACTCCAGCCTGGGTGACAGAGCCAGACCCTGTCAACCACCCCTCCCAACACACACACACACACACACACACACACACACACACACACACACAGAGCCAGACCCTGTCAACCACCCCTCCCAACACACACACACACACACACACACACACACACAGAGCCAGACCCTGTCAACCACCCCTCCCCCCCCACCACACACACCCCCGAACCCAGAACACAGCTACCTTCCTGGAAAAGCCCACAGTGAAATCCACGCATCCCTCACAGCACATGTGTGAACAGAGCTCCCATCGACAACATGAGGACCAGTTTATCAAGTCTCTCTTCTCCTTAAGCAAGAGAACAACTCGAAGCAGCTGAGAGCAGGCGTCAGGGCTGAGGCTGTCTGCAAATCACGATACCCTGCCTCGTGCGCCAACACGACCTGCTCTCTGTGGCTCTCCGGGCCTTTCTCGTCTCACGCTACCCTGCCTGGACGGCCTTCCCTGCAAGTCCAATGACGGAGGGCTCCACCACGCCCAGCCTGCTGGTGTGTCAAGCGGCTCAGAGAACCACCTCCTCAATCAGCATTTCTGAGACCTGAGCCAGGAGAGTTCCCTCCTCCCTCTACTGCTTGTTCATCTTCATCAGCCCAGGTACAGAGAAGAACAGGAGTGACAGTCGCCACCTCACCATCAACGCCAGTGCCAGGCTCTCCTTTGCTCACACGCCTTCTGCATCCTACCCAGGCCACCACTACCGCCCTGACCCTAAAGCCTGCGGGCACGGAGCTGGGGTCCTCTAGGAAGCGCGGGCCCGGTTCACTCAGCGGTCCGTTCACACAGTCACTCCAGACTCCAGCATCAGACCCTCGAGGGCACAACCCAAACATCTCTGTTCGCAGAGCACAACCCAGGTGCAGAGGCCAAGAAATCCTTTCACAGACATTGAGGTCCCGGGAACCCCACCCGCAACACCCATGTGCCCGCATCACCCATGTGGCCCGCATCACCCATGTGCCCGCATCACCCATGTGCCCGCATCACCCATGTGAACATGACGGGGTTCTGATCCAAATACACGGTTCACGCCTCCACACTCTCGGGGTGAAACCACACCATCCACCACCTCTTTGGGAGACAGTGCTCATTGGAGGCATGGAGCATGCCGAAACCGAAGCTTGGTGGTAGTGGCAGGAGCTCAAGAGGACGGCAGCGAGGCCTGGGCTGTGTGCACAGTATTCTGCACCCTTGCAGAGCTGGGCTGCTCCCTGTGAATGCTGAGTCCCAGGACCCAACCCCACAAGATGAGGAAGATGAGGCCAGGGAGGCAACATAAAGCTGTCCCAGTGCTCTGAGCACTTAGCCACAGAAGAGCAGGAACCACCAGGAAGCGTGACCTGCCCTTGCACCTTTCTGTCTCACCGCTGAAGGTGCACATCGGCACCCTGACACCCACCTCCTCAGGAGCTCGCACATCGGCACCCTGACATCCACCTCCTCAGGAGCTCAGCAGGACACGCCCACCTCAACTGCCAAACCCAGACTCTCCACAGGCTTCAAAGACAGGTGCGTCCCCGCGTGTGAGCTCGGCAGTGGTGCTGGCCAAGCACTGGCTTCAGCTCATCCTTCACTGGTGGCCGCAAGCCATGGTACCCACCCGGCCCTGCACACGGCACCAGAGCTCGGGACTGAGCAAGTGGGAGCAGACACCTGGACACTGCCCAGACATCAAGCGTCTCAGAGCTGCTGTCGTTCAGCACCTGCACATGTCCGGGTTCACAACATGCTTCACAATTCACCAAAAAGAAGTGACCTGAATCGCCACCATGTAGTTGCTGAGAGGAAGGTGGCCTTGCTGGTTATGTTCCCATGTGGAATCCCTGCTGAGCTCACACCAAACCCACAATGTGAGCAGAGAGGCCGCAGCACAGCAGCACAGGCAGCAGCGAGAGGCCTCACAGGTAGTGACCTGGGGACCAGAAGGTGGCCCAGAGCAACCGGCAACCAGGAACACAGTGAGGGGACCCTGCCCACCAGGGACCACTGAGGGTCAGACAGGTTACAGATGAACAGCCTGCCACACAGGCCAAGCAGTCAGGAGGAGCAAGGAGGCACGAGGATCAAAGGACGACAGCGGCAGGATGGCAGGAGTTGACACGCATCCTGCACAGCACGGCCCTGCCTCACCATTCACTCCACCAGACACTCCTGTGCCTGCTGCAGAGACAGGAAGCTGACTCAGGAGACACCTGACTTGTTGACGGTCACAAAGATAACACATGGCAAAGCCTGAACTTGAACCCGGATCTGTCCAAGTTCACATTCGCTGGGCACACCCCAGAACTCGGCGTCTTCCCCCACACTGCAGGACAGGAAGTCTGCACTTCCTAACACCTCAGAACCCAGCAGCACCTGCCAATACTGCAGGACAGGAAGCTTGTACCCCAGGAAACTGCATCACCCCCTACACTGGAAAGCAGGAAGTCTGCACCCCAGGAATCAGCATTAACCGCACACAAATAAAATGCAGGGGTTTAGATTTACATCCCACTTTCCTGTTCACGTTTGGAATAAACCACAGTTGGGAGTAACATGCCCCAGCAGTGCTTGCAGTCGGGATACCCGAATACCTGACAGGCCTAACGGACGCCAGGACAGAAATCCTGGATTTCTGGGGGTAGAACGTGCAGCCACATTGAGGCGCTGCCTGCAGACAGAGGCGCAAAGAAAGGGCCGGAGGGCGGAGAACAGGCCACGTGCGGGCAGCACCCCGTTCCCACCTCATCCCCATGTGGGTGGGTGAGCGCACAGGGGTGGGGGGCACAGGGGTGGGGGGGGGCACAGGGGTGACGGGCAGCATTACCTTTTTCCCAGTCTGCTTCTCCACCATGTCGCTGCTGAGGGGAAGCTCTTCCTGCTGTGGTGCTTTAGGGCACCCGCCCTTGGGCATCGTCCTGCTCCTCACCCGATCTTCATTTACACGGCCGGCCCTTCATCATCAACCGTCTGCTTCAAAAGAGAAAACGCACAAGTCACTGAACGCAGAGGCAGCACCAACTCATCCACTCTCACACAGACTCAGCGACTGGTCAAGGCAGGCAGCTGTTCTGATCAGGGCTGGGGCCAGGCCCAGGCCCAGGAAGGGACTCCTCAGGATGCGCATCCCATGAAGGGGTCACCAGCAACAGGAATGGCAGCTTTGAGCAGGAAGGAGAACAGAGAGGGTCAAGCACTTCGTGGTGGCAGAAAGGGGCACGTGGTCTAGGGGGTGGCTGTGTTCTGGGTGGCAGTCAGCAGCACCTGGGTCCTGGGTCCCGCCTGGCACAGAATGCACCCAGAACGGTCAGTCGCTTCCCCGCAGCACAGGCAAGGCCACGACACGCAGTGCAGTACCCAGCCCTCAGGTCTGGCAGGTCACGTCCACAGCCTCAGCCTCACAGTCCACTCACCACCTGGGAAGGAGCTCCTGTCCCCACCAGGCCTACGCTTTCTGCACACCCAGTTCCTAACTTGGTGGGCCAGGGGTGTCTCTGAGGGAGTCTCTGAGGGAGTCTCTGAGGCAGCTCCGAGGTCCCAACTCCTCGCCCATGGAAGCAGACGCCCCCCTGGGCCTCAGGCTCCAGCTCCTGGGTTTCCCAGGAAATCTGAGGACACATACTGTATAAATCATGTTTTATTTGTATTTATTAATCATGTTTTATTTTAGGAAATTTTGGCATCTTAAGAAGTTTCTGGCCAGGGAGAGGCTGCCCCTCTCAGGGCTGGCAAATTCGTAGACAGTCAAGGGCTCCCATGCAACCCAATCACATTCTTACCCAACTCCACACCCAGGCCAAGCCCGGCCTGAAACCCTGAAACCAGTGCAAAGCCAGGTAAAGGAAACTAGAAAGCACGCCTACAGCACAAAGCCTGCAAGAACTTTCCAAAGTAGCCACTCCCAAACTACTCGCTCTGCCCCGTCACACTCTTCCTGCAGAAAACCCAACAGGCAGTTGGGGGAGGCCTTCCCCGAGCCCCTGCTTCTGACTCCCGGCCCCCGTGGTTGAGGCGGCCCCTCTAGGACACGCAGTGCCAGCGCACTTCCTCCTTCCCAGCCTCAGCCTGGTCTCTTCTGTGGCGGCACCAACTTCACCACGCCACACCTGGCACGGACCCTCTTAGAGCACGGGCCTCCTCCCTGCCTGCAGGCCTTCCAGGTTTGTTCGCCATCACAGTCAGGCCTCCCAGGTGCACTCACAAGAGGAATGGGGGACACACCTACGCCCCCATGCCCAAAGCCACTGTCCTCCCGTCATGTCCTCACCACATCGTCAGTTAGAAAACATCTCATACAAACTGAACTGCGTACGCGTCTCCGCTCCTTTCGCCACATCAGCACCTCTGTGCATGACCATGCTGGGAGAAGCGGCTTCTGCAACTTGCTCCCCCTGTATTTACCCATCTCACTCATGCAAAGTGTGGCTTTTGAAACACGATGTGCAGACCCATCTGTGAGCCGCAGCTCCACTCCGAGCCTCTCCCACCTCCACCCTGTCAGCTAAAGGTTAGGCCGTGTGCCACCTGCCCCTGGATGCAGGCTTGGGCGAGACCACAAGATGCTTCTCCTCCAACACCATCGCACGACCTGCTTTGTCTTTCCAAAATAAACGACAAAATCCCACAAAGTGCTGTCTTGGTATTTAACTGGCACAAGAACACACCTAAAGTTATTCTGGAGAGAGGGACAGGTCGGGTCAACGCATTCACTGCCTGTTGCCTCCACCCGCAGTGCAGGTAAGCAGGTGTTTCCATCCATCATCCCTGATGGCTGAGGCCAGAGATTTTTTTCTCCCTCTACCTGAACCTATGAATTTTACATTCTCTTCCAGTTTCCCACCACAAAACTGGAATGTCTCAGCCTGGAGAACTGGCATCTCAGCACCTGACTCAGGGAAGGCTGTTCAAACGTATGGCTGTCCAGAAGCTCCGTGGTAATGTTTAGAAGTTTAAGGGTTATCAGGAAGTAACGTTTTAAAAAATCCAGACTGCCTGCGCTCAGGATGGAAAAATGGGGTCTTCACCATGGTACAGTCCACTGTCCTGATCCCAAATGTGAGTCTGTGGCCCATGGACACGCTCAACAGCTCTGGTGTGGTCAGGAACGGACGGCGTCTGGGCCCCACACTGTGGGGGCTTATCACTTCACTCCTGAAACACCCGATTCTCTCCATGTCCCTAGCTTGGTGCTATGCCCAGGCACCTTCCCGACGGACCAGGGATCTGCGAGTCCACTCAGGAGGCAGAGGAAGTGGGTGGCGCCCACCAGGCAGAACACTTTTCACGGCCTGCGATACCGTGAGCACTCCAGGGGCTCGGAGTGTCGTCCCAGGCGGACGCTGTGTTTTCTGGAGGTTTCTCCACCCACCTGCATGACAACAGCTAAGACCATCCAGGTTGCTGCCCTTCCAGGACCCTCATGCCCGCCTGGCCTTGGCTACACGTTACCGATGGCAACGATGTGCTTGAGGCCCTGAAACCCCAGCCCCCACCCTCCATGAACCACCACCCTCATCACAGTCATCGGCATGGTGACAGCTGAGATGTGCTGCTGAAGCATCTGGGTGGATGTGGATGAAGCTGGTTTGGATGTAGCTGCCATCTAGCCCATCCTACACCTCCCAGGACCCGTCTGCAGGCACCAGGCGTGCAGCCCGCGGCCCACTCTAGAGTCTTTTCCAATGAGAGACCAGATGAAGACAGAGGCTCCAGTTGCTTTTGTTCTCTTCCAAAACTGGCCATCCCAGTCCTCCCAGAAGTTGCCCTGGTGATGCCTCTGGCACCTCTGGCCCCCACACTGCCCTGTGTTCCCTCCACCGGGCTCAGGGCTGGTCAGCCTCACCCCTTGCCAAGAAATGGCAGAGCCAGTCGAGGGCCGAGGCACCGTACTCAGCCGTGCCAGTGACTTCTCCCAGGGTCTGCACCGCACTCAGGAGTCAGGACAACAGGCTCTGCTGACTCGTGGGCGTTGCCTGAGGGTGGGAGCTGTGGCGACGCCCCCGGGCCTCCCTGGCAGAGCTGTCACATAAAGCAGTCCGAGAAGCTGAGAGTCCCCTCTTTAGACAGTTCCGCTGCTGCCCAGGCCTGGCCCCTGTGCCTTCTCATCATGATGCCGCACAGCTGACCACACAGCAGGTCTCCCTCCCGGGGAGATTCTTCCCTGGAAGGTGACTTGGCTGTCCCTGCCTAGACTCATTCTAAGTGCAGCCTAAATCGCCCTCATTTCCAAGTTATCAGGCAAAGTCTATTTTAAACTCATGACCCTTGAGTCAGCAGGAGACTGAAACACGCCTGGGGCACTGGGGCTGACTCACGCCCTGTGGCGAGCAGCATGGGGGGCCGGGCCGTTCCCTCGCAGGAAGGGAAATGCAGAGCCAGCACCCGGCCCTGACCAGCCCCAGTCCACGCATTCCTTGTTACTTCACCTCTTGACAGCAACAGTCCCGGCTTCGTGGACTGCCAGGGTCACCGAGAGTCCAGGGTGGCAGGAGTCCCCCACACGAGCCACCGGCACACTCCCTGAGGCAGAAGCCACAGCACCAACGCTGTGGGCTCAGGGAACTTGCCGATTACCTGGCAGCCCCGCGTCCATGCCAAAATAAAGACACAACTCAGCCCAGTGGAGTGGACGGTGTCTGCGGCCAGCTCTGGGACCCAGGGGCAGCGATGCTGGGCACAGCCGTCCTTGCCCAGTCCTCTCCAAGCTGCGGGAGGCCCTGCGGCCCAGAGGGGCTCCGCCTCCCCTGCAGTGGGGCTCCAAAGACAATCCTTCCACAGACGTGACAGGAACAGCGATGCCCTGCTCCTCCCTGAAGGCGGCTTCGAGAGCACTCAGGGGTGAGAGATGCTGTCAAGACCGGCCCAGGGAAAGCACAGGGCAGGTTTCCCAGCACCCACCACGCGCCAGCAAGCACAGAGTCTTCGCCTAAACCACCCAGGCACCGCGCCCTCCCCTCCGCACCCACAGGAACCCGACTGCCATTCCCTCCACTCCACAGGACACGCAGCGAGCACCAAAGAGCCTTCCTCCGGGACCAAGCCTGACACAGAAGGGGTTACACTGACTACTGCAAGGTCAGTTTAGCAAAACCCCAGGAATTTCAGCCTATCTGGTCTCTTCAGCTGACAAGTGAAGAGCAGCCACTGGTGGGGAACCCGGAGCTGCCTCTCCCAGGCTTCTAAGATTGGAGCTGGGCCAGGACGACCCTGAGACACCTGTGCAGCGGGCAGGACTCCTGCAGGGCCGGGTGTGGCGCAGGAGCTGCGGGGAGGAGGCTGTGGGGCGGGGTGGGGAGCGGGGAGCTGTGGAGCTCCTGCCCAGGAGCACTCCTTGCCAGAGGCCTTGGCATCACCAGGGAGTCCGTGGACCATGGAGATTCACAGGTCCTCGCGGGCCTTCTGAACCCAAACCTGCACTTTAATGTTCTGTTCTGCACACTAACATCTGAGAAGGACTGCACCAGAAAAAACTTGTAATGACACAATTCATTCTGAAAACTCACAGAAAAAAAAAGACTTCTTTGGGTTTGCACTTCCCCTTCAATAAAGGGATGGAATGTGAGTAGAGCTGCCCTTGTACAACCGGGCTCTGGGTCTGTGCTGCGTGGGTTCACTTACACCAGATTTTCTTCCACCCCTGCCTCTCCTGAGACCGCAAGACCCATCTCTACTCTTCCTCTTCAGCCTCCTCAATGTGAAAACGAGGATGACGAAAGCCATTCGTGGAGACCTGCTGCTGCTGCGCGAGACTTAAGTCTATTTTCTCCTCGTGATCTTAGTCTTTTTGCGTCGCTAGCTTGGTTTACCCTAACGGTAAGAGTAGAACACATGTAACATACAAAATGTGCATGACTGGCTTTATGTGTTCAGGAAGGCTCTGGTCAACAGAAGGCTGTGAGTTGAGTTTGGGGAAAGTTAAAAGTTATACACAAGTTTTCAACTGCACGGGTGGCTGGCGCCCTCAACCCCTGTGT